TCTCAGCATATTCGCTCGTAAACAAATTTGAGCTCTGGTCGCTGCCTACTCACTTGTCGTGTATATTCTCAACGCCGACGGGGAAGTTGTGAATGGACGTGGGGTTGCTTGTGTTTATGCGCATCTGACAAACAGCGTCAGTGAAAACAAAAATCCTCAATGGGGTAGTGTTACATGGGCCTAATTGCACAGGACGGCCGTCTGGCCAGCAAGCGGCTCGCCGTTCTATTTTTAGGACAGTGAAACGAATGTGAGATGTCTTCTCTCCCACGTCTCCTCTCCACTTTCCAGACACCATCCTCTAGATGGTATAGCATACGGACGTACAGTATGAGCATGCAGGCGCCCACACACGCAGACTTCCTGTCACTGACCAACATCAATCACAGCAGCGGACGTGCACAGGCTGAGGGCATGCGCGGCTGAGAGTGGCGCAGTGCAATCACCGAGCGCTCCGACAAGCTACTAAATTAAAGCGCGTGGCCCCTGCTCGGACTCCCTGGGAGGGTTGAGTTACGGCTGGTATTTTTAGTGAAGGGTATGGGCTTCATCCCTGGAACCGCTGGCGGCTGAGGACCATCACTCACAGAGGGCCTGTCTTCCCCCAGTAATATCTGTGCTAGTCCTCAGGTTTGTTTTTAAAAAATCCTAATTGACGAATGTCTTTATACTCAGCCGTCTGCATATTGTTTGTTTAGCGTCCCGCGCAGGCGAACACCTGTCTGACACACACCGGCCTGCGACGTTGCCGGCTGGTCTGTCTTCAGTGAGCCCAGGAGGCCTCCACGATCCCTCCTGTGGGAAGGGTGATGTGCTCTTTTAACAAAGGCACATCACCCTTCCCATTGAGACGATGAGAGAGGGAAGTAAAATTCGGTGTCTATGTAACTGTCAGTTACAGCTGTCATTAATCTGACAGTTTAACCCTTAGTATCTGATGGGGGGGACGACAGACGTCAGTTTAAAAAGTTTTCTTTCTCTTACACACAGTTGATTCCATTGCACCTTAATTGGTTTTACTCTTATTTTAGATTTCCTTTTTTTTATTTATTTCATCTCATATTTCTGGAAAACTTCCCCCAGAAAATAGATAGAAGGACTATGAAGATAGTGGCAAAACACCTACGCACAACTTTTTAACCTCACTTTTCTCAAAAATGCTGTATAATCATATGAATTTCCCCATTCCAGGACTAATGAAAGATTATCTTATCTTATCTTATCTTATCGAAATGTAAGCACGAAATAGGGACCTATTGTCAAAGCCCAGGAATGTCTTTGCCCTTAGATTACGTTTACATTAAGATTTAAATATGTATTTTAGCTGTTTCTGTTCATTTGAAAAGAAATCCGAGTGATAACTTTAATCGCAATGTTTTTCCGGTGTTTGTCATTTCATCCTGAGGAAGAAGTTAATTTTGTTTTCTTTAAAAAGAAAAAAAGGTTGTCAAATGAGTAGAAATAAAAAAAAAAACGTAATTTTGGGCTTTGAATTCCTTCGGCAAAGGTTTAGGTTACATAGTCTGTGTCCCTCTCATCCTTTTGCCAACTCACAGGCACCATCTGCTGCTTAGAGTGCATGACTCACTTTATCTTCCCACTACATGGCGAATCGGCCACATCCGGAGTCCAGGGGAATTCATGTGGTAGTTTTCGTATTGGTTGTAAATGAACCCAAAGCTAATTCATGGATTTGAAAATAACAACAAAGAAAAGTGCTTCATGAATTATTATTTCTGATTTATTTGAATAAAAGTGCAGGAAAATCATGAATAGAAGTCATAAATATAGTCGAATGAAAGCATAAATACATCAACCAAAAGAAATTGTAGTCTTTCAGGAATAAATAAAAATCCTGTATTATTGTGAGAATGTGGCTCTCATATTAAATGCTTTGGAGTTCTTGAACGTCTTATATGTACACATGACAGAGGAAATACACCAATACCTTTAATCAAAATGATATACATGATTTTGAATGTCCATTGTAAATCCTATTGCCACAGCCATTAAGAGAACGGCGTTTTCTCCCCAGTAGCATGGATATCCACCTCCTCCCCACCCAGCCAGTGCTCATGCAGCTCCCCCAGAATCTCATGCAGGGACAGCTCGGGCAAGGGGTCGTACCGGGTCAGCGCCGGCGACTCAGCCCCCCCGCACACCTCCATAGAGGCCCCACTCCACGAGTTGTCCATCCACGAGTACTGACTTTCCACCGGCGTGGTGTTCTCCAGGCTGGCATCCCAGTACCCGGAATCCGGCGTGTCTGGAGTTGAGGAGTGGGAGGTGGAGTAGGAGGTGGAGCAGGGCATGTACGCCCGTTGCTCCGCCGATCCCGGATACGCGACTCCGGCCTGAGTGGAGCTGGAGCCGTAGCTTCTCATCTCCAGGGGCGAGTGGCCCCACTGGGGCGGGACGGGGGAGGCTCGGCTGCCCGGCTGGGACCAGAAGCCCCTCAGGGACGCGGCGGATCCGCATCCGAGCGGTCCGCTCTGCTTCAGCCCGTACGCGGAGCCGTAGTGTCCGTGCTCCTCGGCGGTGGAGTAGGCCGGGGGCCGCTGTCCGTAGTAGCAGGCCACCTTCACTTCTTCCTCCTTCACCAGGGTCTGATAGGCCGGCGGAGGGCCCAGAGGCGGCAGATGGACGGAGCCGGCCTGCGGGCCCCCACCGGCGGCAGCATGGGGCGGAGGCAGGGCGTCACGTGCCGGGCTGTCAGACTGCCACAGAGCTTTCTTGGCGCCTTTGCACTTCAGCGTGCGAGCTCGCCTGTTCTGAAACCACACCTGGACAGGAAAAGGAGAAGAAGAAAAAAATAAATGCTGAGGTTGGAATGGGGTCGGACAAACAAAACAATCTACCCGGTTAATCATTTTCCGGGTAAACAGGCAGCGGTGAGGCGGCGGGACAGGATTAGCACGGCAGTCCGCCGTCAGAGCCTTGTTGTACAGTCTATCTGCGAGCTCAAACAAGGGCCCGATAAAAACAGCTCGTGTCATCTTCAAAGATAAGAAGAAGTCAAGTGATAGCGATATCTACAATTCTATGCAGGATGAATTTGAAAACAGAGCCTTTTTTTATGATAAGAAAAGTGCAGCTTGTGTCGTAAGGCAGGAGGCCTCACTAAGGCCCCCCCCCCCCCCCTCCCGGTGATCCGGCCCCCTGGGCGTGCTCGCCTGCGTGCGTTTAATCTCAAAACAACAACAGTTTCAAAGCTCCTAAACTTATCTGAAGAGGCCGTTTAATTGACTCGGTTTAACTCATTGCATCATCACCCGCCCGCCGTGAGGGGGCTCGGGCGTTTGATATCGCAGACCGGCCGGCAGCAGTACCTGGATGCGTGACTCCGGTAGGCCGGTGGTCTTGGACAGGCTCTCTCTGAGGCTGATGCCCGGGTACGGGTCGGTCTCGAAGGTGACGCGCAGGAGCTCCACGTGGTCCTTGGAGAAGCTGGTTCTCTTCCTGCGACTGGTGCTGCGATGGGAGCCGCCGGAGGCCGCGGCCCTGGCGTCGTCTGGGGGGGAGACAGAGAAGAGGGGAGCGGGTTCAACGTCAGACAGGATGCATAGATGTTTGTCTTTTTTCCTTTGCCCTCTTGTTGTGCTCTGAACCAGCGGCTGTTTAGTTTCATCCCTATGAGGCTACTTTCTAAAGCTGTAATTCAACAGTAATGCATCATGAAATCAGGACGCTGAATGTGCAGTAATACAAATAACTGGCTTTTCATTTCTGGTGAAAAGTTCAACTCTGGGATTTCTGAACATAAATACCCAATAAAGTTAAAGTTTGTGAAGGCAGACAAAAACAAGGACCTTGTTGACAAATATCTGTAAGAATAATCTAGTCATTGGTGTTTTATTCTACCTTACACAAAACATATTATAATTAGGGCTTTTCTTTCTATTTTACTGGCATTGTGTTTTTCTTTCACTGTTTATACAGCACGTAGTCTTAAAATTCTCAAAGTAGTTTTAGTATTTTTTAGCCGTCCTATTTAGTTTACCCAGGTTGGTGAATCGCCTTACATCACATGCAGCGGGTGCCAAGGTTTTTTACACATACCCGACTGAGCAGACTGTGCTGCAAAACTACTTCACCTTGCACCACTAACTACTTCACCCAGGGATCTATGTCCCACAAACAAAACTGGACATAAAGCAAAACATGAAAACCTGATGTGAAGATCACAAAGCATTTCTTACCATTGCTGGAGTCCTTCCACATGGCAGCGGCTCAATAAGTGAAGCTCTGGGGACAAAATGGATTTCGGGTGGACTTGTGATCAGTGTGACACTGTGTTCCTCCACCGAGAGACTGTGACTGTGTCTCCTGCTCGCAACAGGGGGCCTTTTATATCGATCACCTGAGACCCCCGGAGGCCTCGGCAGAGCCAGATGGGAGTTGGGGTGGGGATTTGTTTTTACTTTGAGGACGGGTTCTTAACAGAAGTACTCTGGCCCTTCCGAGCCGTTATCACCTCATAGCTATCAAAGTGGTGGCAAGGTCACTGGTGAATATGACACAAGATCTCGGGAGAGACAAAGGAAAGTCGCTCAGTGATTGTCAGCCTCGTCGATACCACTTAACAAGAGGACGACTCACATGTGACTGTTTGTGTTTTTGTGCTGCTGAGAGTATGCGAGGTCCAACGACAGACATTCTTTTTAATATCTAATATTTTATTGTGATGTGATAAAAACTATGTAAATGTGCGTTGGGGTTTTCTGTTTTTTGGGTTGTAAAGAATATACTGTACCATATACATATATATAGATAGATATATTTATATATACTGTTTAACATAGTTTTTCATTTACCAGGCAGCAATGGTAAAGTGAAAGTTTTAATTAAGAGAGAAATCTTTCTTAATATTAGAGTAATGGCCTTTTATTCAAATCTGTCTGATGAGTGCTCAGCACAAACACCGGCAGCTTTGCACACTGTTAATCAACAGACAACAATCTTTAAGACCTTTTTTTGATCTCACAGGCTTTAGTGAAACACAAAACGGCCTCCTGTTAGTTGTTTTCTTTTCACATGCAGAGCAGCTCTCTCCGTCACAAGGGCATAAACAAAAGAGGAGTAAATACCCACTGATGAATTAGACGGTCACACAGCAGCCTTCAGAACACTGAATATGTGCATCAACGCAGCGGCGGGCCTGTCAAACGGCTCGACATGTCCGGGCTTTGACTTCAAAATCGTATTATCTGCATGTCAAGTCTTCTGTGCTCTGACCTGCTGCTGGAAAACTTAAATTACTTAAATTAAATATAAACACGTCTTAACTTGATATATATACATATGTATACTCCTCCATATGCATTTAAACCTCTATTCTTGACCTTTGACTTCTTCCTTGTTGGTTGAATTGAATGATTTCATGTCAAAAGTGTCCAAAATGTAAATGGCCAACATACTGAGTCCAAAGCCAAACAGTACAAAAGGACAAAGTTCATATGCAGATTCACCATAGTTTTGGGTGTATTAGAAAACAATGCCGCTTGAAGTCTACCCGGGTCATCTGACGCAGCAGAACAAGCTCTTTTTCATCTTTATCTGGGAAACTCACAGAATCAATGTCTCCATGTGTAGAGACGGCTCCTGAAAGTCCCAACAACACTCCCTGTGCTTTGTCCAAATCCAATCAGACTTTATACCACACAGCAATAACGCTGGATGCTGCCAAAGCCACTCATTTGAAGTAATGATTGATATTAATTCCAGATAGTCATATTAAAAAACGTTTATTATCTACAATTAGTTGAATTAGTGTAATAAAAATGGGAAAGAGTGTGATCAATAAATCATTTCAGCAGATTAAAGCCTTGCTCTAACCCGGTTAACATACAATGATCGATTGATTAAAGTCAACTAAGCACTGGTGTAGCAGATAGGCTAATCAGCTAATGCAAAATCACTAAAGGGAGCTTTGTTTAGGTTGGTGATGTACATATTTTGAGAAGAAAAAAATAATTTGATCATCTTAACTTAAAAACATGATCCTCCAAATAGGAAAATCTACAGGAACGTGTAGAGGATGGCGTGTAGAGGATGGCAACTATGCAGCTTATGAATTACTGTTTGATTAGGATGTATTCAGTTCGATTTGATTAATATATGGAGTTTTACATTTAAAAAAATGAATTACAGAAATCCTTGAGTTTATCACATTTTTGGGGGAGTTGTTGAAAAGGTCTAATAAAACATGACAGCGGTTGTAGGTCTACTGTTTCATCATTATATTTCTAATGAATAAATAAAGCATTGGATAAGCCTCAATATAGTTTCAGATCCAACTATCTGACAATGAATAGCTTTTCAGACAGTTTAAAAGGGACAGTACAACTTCTCCCACTAGTGTCTTATATAAAATACCTGTATTACGTGACACATTTCGGTTTTGTCAGATGTCGTATTCATGCTAGAATAACCCTCAGCAAAAAACTTTCATAATTTCCTACTGTATGGAATATTAATGTGGTGTCTGATACCTACCTAAACTTTAAACAATGACTAAGGACTAGTAGACAGTGTATATAGCACACGGATGTTTGTTTTCCGGTCACTGGAATATTCTACTGGAAGTCTGATCCGTCACAGCACTAATACATCTTTAGTGTAATAAAATCTCCCTTATCGGAAGTTGTTATTACGTTTTTGTTAATCCGCATTATATGTGCCTACATTTTATTTTCATATGAAGCCATAAGAATACTCCATAAGTAATAAGTAACGTTATGTAACAATGTATGGAACAGCGCCCCCCTCCCCCCTCCCCCCTCCCGGTCGGCCCGTCCTCCCGTGGTCCCTCGTCGCCGCTGTTTCCACACGGTAGTATTTGATAGCGGGACCAGCGCAGCACGGCGGAGCAGCAGCCATGGCTAAAAGTGATGGATGCGATTACTTTAAAAGAACCAGCACGTTTTGGATCGTCTTCGTGATACTGGGGATGGGATATTACACTGTAAGTTCATTACTAAATGAGTCATAATCTAAATACGATTTAATAAGTGTAAATCACCCATGTGCGGATAACGCCGCCGTGTTGTGTTGCTAAAATGTCCTCCGGGTCGTGTGCTTTTTTTCAAAAAAAGACGCTTCTGTTGGAAAATGTACGTTAAAAGTATCTTATTTGTTAACATTTTGTGAAACTGTTGTATTGCCAAAGTGTCTTCCGTGTTCATTGTTACGTCACGCTCTGATCGCTTATCCAGCGTTCATCTTATCGGGACTTGAACCATCACGGTTCAAACTAACTTGGTGTCCAAAGTCCATCGGACTCGCTGTCCGCTGCAGGAGTCTGTTCCCTCCGGCCGATGTTTGCCCCGACAGCGCCCTTCAAATAAACAACACCATGCCAAACTCCATTCTACCCTTGATAACGTTATATTTATTAGAGTTGTATAGTTGTATAACTTGCAAACTCATTGCTTCCCAAATGCACCGCAACAATAAAGCTCACAGCAGGCGGCCTGTAGATATTTGGGTTTTTATTGTAGCAGATATTGTAGCTATTTTTTTCCAATTGCCAAATGTAAATGGTATAAATAGCTGTTAACTGCAGTAATGGGCGAGAGAGATAACACGTTAACCTTTTACATGGAGTATGGAAGTGTGTGGTTCAAACAGTGATCACGTGTATATTTAGAGGGAAAATGTTCAAATATCAGCAAAACATCCCATATGTCGGGGCCCAGCCAACACTGCTGTTTGCTTGAATATATATTTTTTTGTTTCATTTGGCAAACAAATTAAGCAATCAAGTGTGGCTTAGAAATTGAAGTTTGTCATGTAATAATGAATAAATGCATTCTAGTTTTTGTATCATGTGCTTTACTCCCTTTCAAATATCTTTTAATTTCAGCATCACTGATACAAATAGTTTGTAAAAAACTGTTTTAGAATAACTGCTTTTGAAATGGATAAGTGATCAAAATAAAAGCATCTTCATCCACGATGTGCTTACCATCCGTAGAGTCGTTAGCTGGTAGTATTTATTTCAGTTTGTATGAAATAAAGACTTGATTCTGACCCCAACGTGGAAGATATGGAGTGCGATTCGGAGCCTAACAAGACCTCTACTCATTTGCTTTCACATGACAGCCCTCCAACAAAACCCTCCAGGGTTTAGAATCGGTTCTCCAGAACTGCGTCGAATTAAATCCCCGTGGCCTTCAACAAGGCCGTCCTGCTACGGCTTTCTAAGTCACGATTGCCGCTACAAGCCGGTCTAACCGCTTGAGCGGGAAGCCCAATAGCATTCCGCTTATTATTATCACCCCCCAAAAGCTGGTATAACACTAATGAGACTATTTTGACCCGGATGCATAGAAACATCCACCTTTCTATACTTTGTGGGACTCTGCAAAATATGCACTTTTTAACCAATTTTCTACGGTCCAAAAACGTACGTCATACGCTTGTGTTTTTCACTTACTAAATGTCATGGCTCTACAAGCAAAGTCTCTAACTATATAAAACCCTGAAAATGTGGCAAAAACTATGAAATTGTCAAATAGTTCCCTCTTGCTGAACTTATCTTGCGGTGACAAAGAGCGCACACACACACACATGCTCCGGTTTGTCTCAAAGTCTCTGTGCATGTTTTATGCGTTAACTCGGCGCTTCTCCTGACTGTGTGTTGCAGTGGATCGTGTTCGCGCCGGAAACGATCCCGTTCGAGCAGCTCGGCCCCTTCGGCAGCTTCTGCAGGCACCTGGTGGATAACTATGCTGGCATTATGTACAAAGGGTAAGCGGACACTCGGCCTCCGGTTACCACGGTGTTCTCCTTGATCTCCTCCTGACATGTGATCCCTCTTCCTTGATAGCAGTCGCCCCCCCCTCAGGTAGAAGGTTGTGATGTTGCCTAATTAGAATGAAAGGCAACCAGCAGATTGCCTCAGCGGAGCGGCATCTCTTCCGATCAGACGACGCGCAAAGTACCATCAGTGGGCTGAAAACCAATCAGCTGCAGCCGTTCACACCTCCACCGGCGTGAAGTTCTGCTAATTAGGCCTTTAAGCCGAAGCACCAGCAGAGCGTGAAGACGGCAATCAGAGGATAAATGTTTTGCTGTTGTTTGAGTCATGTGACCCGCCGGCCGGCCGTTAATCTCGTTTTGGAGGTTGTCACGTGACTGTTTTGTTTTGTTTTTCAAGCCAGCACTGTTGCATTGTGGGGTGTTACTCAGCTTTGCTTCAGGGGAGACAAAAAAATGTTTGGCCATGTTCTCACACGGCGTGGCTGGATTTCAACTTTTTTTAAAAGTTACAAGTACTTTGTTACTTACAGAGTATTCCAATCGTGTCACGCACGTGTGTCTGTTCCAGGTGGTGGGCGTCCTGGGCCATCCACGTCACTGAGGCCTACATCGCATTACGGGTGTGCAGGTAAGGAAGACAGGAAGCTATTCCATTTGTAGTAGATGAGGATGCAACCGCATTTCTGACACAACCTTCTATTTAGAAAGTTTCATCTCCCCCCTTAAGGCCACAAACAACTTAAATGCCTTAAACATCTGAATGAATCAGCCTCCAGAAGCTTCCATTTGTCATCTGTTTTTTGTTTCACAACAAATCTCAGGTGTAATTGTCTAATTTTGATCATGCAGAGATGACCAGCATGCTCTACATTCAGTCCCAATCGTGTGTTGGCACATTTGTGCAGAGAAGTAGAGGTTGAAGTGGCAAACGATGCCAAGCGAGCGGCGGCGTCAGGATTTCGGACGCAGTGAAAGCGGCGGCTGGTTCATTGTTGTCTTCTCCGCAGCAACAAAGGCATCAGCGACGCGGCCACTCGCTTCCTGTGGGCGGTGCAGACCTTTCTGTTCGGCTTCGCCTCCCTCGGCCTGCTCATCAAGTACGACCCCAAACGCCCCAAACAGCACTGATTCCAGCGGACGAGGCCCACAGAACAACACTGATCATCTGAGATGATCCTCTCCTCTTCTTCCTCCAACGTCTTTCTTTGAGTTTCAGTGATTTTACTTTCAGTGATAACACGTATTTTGTGGCAGAAGAGAATTGAGGCCTTTCATTAATTCTATCTCTTTAGATATAAAGGTGCCCAAGTAAGATGGAAATTAAACTCCATTTCATTCCATCGGTTTTATATTAACAAACCGTAGATGTTTTTTATTAATAATAATAAAAGAGTAATCTGGCCTGGGTTGAATATTTAGTGCAATACACGGGAACCTTTTAATGAGAGTGATTTCGTACGCTGTCTTTGTGTTTACATTGATGAGTGATATCAGGATATTCTACCAGCTGCTGTGATGAAGAAACGTTCTGGCCGCAGATGGGACGCTGCCGTCAACCTCAAAAGTTCTCCGGGTTAAAATGTAAGGAGGGCTGCTGTTCACGTTCCCACCCGCCGTTCATATGCTGCAGTGCCTTGAGCTCAACCTTTTAAGCAACAGACTGGAAGTTCTTGATAACACGGCAAAAAATAAAGAGCGACTTAACAAACTAAATGGAATGTGCTCCGCTGCTTCTTTTCTATTCCTCCTGAAACGCTTCATTCTAGACTTTTAGGTTTACTGAATTATTTGATCAAAACAATGAGATGCACGGCGGGGATTGTCGCTTGTTCAGTGCTCACACACTGAATGTTTTTAGCATTTTTAGTGTAACGTGTTAGCCTGCAAAAACAGATGGATGAAAAAGTTTGCAGACCAACAAAGGGACCACAATTAATTCTGAGGGGAGGTTTGAATATGTTGGTTTCCCTTATGTCACAGCAATTCACCTCTTGATTGTTGTCATTTTGCAATCAAACCCACAATCATCAGGGCGATGTGGCGCACGGGGTAGAGCGGGTGCGCCGGGAACCGCAAGGTTGGCGGCTCGAACCCCGGCGGCTCGGTGTCCCCGAGCAAGACGCCTGACCCGCTGACGGCTCCCTGGGCAAATTTAAACCGTGGGTTAAAACTGCAATGTAAGTCGCTTTGGACAGACTCACATAGACGTCTCAATGCGATCCATCCAATAGTCGGGATTATTCCCTTCTGAAGCAACGCCGTGCACGAACCAAGAGACCAACGTTGTCATCTCTACGCCGGACCTTCAGCTTAAAAACATGTCGTTCATTAAAGTCAAGGGACCTGGCTGGTAATTTTCAGTGTAAAACATCAGTAGACTCTTTTTCAGAAGGACGTCTATAAACCTTTTTACACACTCAAAATTAATGTTGTAAATTCCTTTTCTTGAGCATTCGAACTTCATCCACCTTTTATTCGCTGATGGGATTTTGCCCTCAAATGTCCCCACTACAAGTACATCTCCAACCTCCTGCTCCACCTGCAGCTTCAGATAACCCAGCGCTGACCACAAAGGTTGTGAGTACACTCCCCAGCATGCATTGCAGTTCTCATCGCAATGCAAGTTATAAGAGGGAGTTGTCCTGTTTCATTTTATAAATGTATCTCAGATGACTCACGGAAATGTCACAATTTAGGAGGATTACTTAATATATGAATCCATCCTGCTTTTTAATACATTTAACTCCAAATAAATTGGTTTTAAAAAATAAATTTCTCATTCTAAATAAAGTAAATCTTAAATATACACGTGTTTCTGGTCCTATGCACATATGTTGCACAAAAGGGTGTTTGATCCAATCTCCTTTGTACAAGTTGGTGAAAATAACTGCGTTTCTTAAAGTATTTATGTGTCGACAAACTCAAATATTCCAATCCACAATTCTTTCCACAGCTCAATCAACATGACCCAGTCGTAGCAAGTGTGTGGCAACTAATTGTCACAACAAGCACTTAGAGTGCCGGCAGTCTGTCACTTAGATGCAATGTTTACAGTAACAAATAACAACATCCTTGTAACACCGAAAGCACAATCATGTAAAGATGGCTTTTTGGATTTTGAAGTTATCTAAAAACAGTTATGTTGAAGTGACAAAAAATGCCATGTAATTTGCAGTCAGTCACTGAAACACAGACTGAGGCCAATCAGAAGGGAAGTTGCGTTGCAGGTTTCCGCTCCTGCCAGTAGAGGTCAGTAGAGGACCAAGGGTGACCAACCAAGGACCAACGTCTTAATCTGCCCCTTCTGTATCGCTCAAAATCAGTGTGTGTGTCGGTGGGTCTGAGAGTGTGTACCTGTGTGCGTGGGTTTTGCTTGTGTGCGTGTCTGTGTGTGAGAGCGCGTGCTGCTGTGGAAAAATATCATAAGCACGAAAAGCCCCAGTGAAGCATCATGACTTATGTCACGTGATTATATTGCTACCCCCTGCGGCACCACCATAACACGTGGCCGTACACCGATGACGCGTTCATACACAATAGAAACATGTATGCAGGTTCATATTTCGACGTGTGTACATGTCTACGTCACGGGTGACTGTACAGTAACGCGCACGCCCACCTGCCTCGGAATGGCCACTGGGGGACAGTTTCCGTACATGGGCCGGGAGTTGGCGGCCCTTTAAACCGCGCACAGCTGTGCCGGGCTGCGTGACTGGTCGCCACCGCGAGGTGGGCGGGACACGACGCTCTGACTCACCTCTGCGTCACCGCACGACGTGCCAGTCAAAAACTGCCTGCTGCTGCGTTCGCGTACTGCGCGTATAAACGGCTACTTTAAATGTCGCGTTAAATAAATGTCCCACACGGGGAAATATAACACACGTCCTGTGTATGTCGAGATATAATGCTAGATCAATAGCTAGTTTAATACGTACATGGCTGATGTGGCGTTTTTAAAAGTTAAATAGCCCCCTCATAGCTTTCAATCAAAAGGTTATTCTACAATAGCAATACGTTAACCCCTAAATACTATTAAACCCATCTAAAGCAGTTAGAAGCTGGATTGCAGCACCTCCACACCGGAGTGAGCCGACCGGGTGTGACGGACGCCCACGGACCGAGCAGCGTGGTCGCGTTTCCCGGTCTGCCTCGCGGTTCCTCAACGTGGCACCGGACGGGCTGTTCTCTAACGACTTCTCTCTGGCCCCGAGGCGTGACTGCGTGGACCCTCGGCTTCTTTCAGGGTAAAAAATAATAATAATTAAATAGAAAATTGACAGCTCAGTAGTAGTTCTTCTTTCAAATCCAATAGTTCTACTGCTGCACCGTGCTGGACGGATCTGCCGCACAGGGTGAGTGTCTCAACAACTGAACTCCGGTGTCCGGTGCGTCTGGTGTTGTAGTTACTTCACCCCGTTCTTCTCCGCCTGCACGCGGACACGTCCGTCTAATATTCAAGGAAGCTGAAAACATTTAAAGAAAGCAGTTGTTCGCGTGCACTGCACGGGTCCTGCAGTCTGCTCGGATCGCTCCACGCGTTTTACGACGTGGAATTTCCGTTGCGCGTCAGCGTGTCGCGCTTCCATAGGATGAAACACGACAGTCGCCATGCATGTGCGTTGCGGGATATGAACTATTAACATGAGATCTAAACTTTAAGGAGATTGTGCCCCTTTTTTTTAACCATCACTCCGGGTCACCTGTCGGTTTTTGGATCAGCTGGCCAATGTTTACTCGCGAGGAAAGCAGCGCGCGCTCGCGGTTTGGAGCGCTGCTGCCTGCGTTATAACCGAGTTGTCATTAATCTCCACACACACACACGAGCGCGTGCACACAGATACACACACAACCACCACTGACTGATCTGCTGATGCAGCATTCCCAACCTGGTCCACAGAAAGTGTAAGTGTGTGCGTGCGTGTTATTGAGGATGCGTGTCCACGTGTCCACGTCTGTGCGTGTGTCTGTGTCAAATTGAGACTGTGAGGAGAGAACTGTTTGTGAGACAAGTGTCTATACAATTGTTATGCTTATTAATTGGCTTGTGTTGGTTAGCACTGTCGCCTTGCAGTGGAAAGGTCGTGGGTTCAACCCCGCCGGCGTCTTGGGCCTTCACCGGTGCAGTTTGCGTGTTCTCCCCTTGTCTGCTTGGGTTCTCTCCGGGTACCTCGGCTTCCGTCCACAGTGCAGCGACATACAGGTTGGATCAGTCAGTGACTCTAAAGTTGCCTGTAGGCTTATAAATGGGTGAATGAACGGTTGATTGACAGTCCATGTGAGGAAAGTTAGCCAACAGAGGTTGTGTCTCTCACTCTGTCTCCGAGTATTTTCACATTGTGTTATTGATGCTATTACTCAGGTACACCTGCTCACCACTGCACTCATGATGACTTTAAGGAGTACTATGGGGTCACTTATTCTACTCTTGTTGTACTTTAGGATTGTCCGTACCCCTTTTTGCATATATTTCCATAGCATCCATACAACAGATCTCTGTGGCCACTGTATCAGTCAGTCAGCTTGTGTTGGACTGCCATCAAATGGCCACCGGGGTGCCGGAGTTTAGTCAACAGGATTACACATAAGCAAGCGGCCTTCTAATTTGGCAGCTAATCCAGATTAAGGTGCCGCGGTTTGTCTGAGTTCCCAGACGCTGCGGCCCGTTTGGCAGAAGGAATCATTCGCCGTCCAGAGTTCACAGTCTCATGTCTGGACAAGGAGGGCTGATGCATTCAGGAGCCCGAGCTGAAGTCAGGTCACTACAGTACTCCATGAACAGAGTAATCTTTGACATTTTATAAACTCGCTGCAGAAACCAGGTCTCCTCTTCTGAGAGAACGGTTTTCATCATTGCCGTTTCCAGAAAGGAGTGTTGCAGCTTTCATCAAATCTCAAAATCCACAAGCGCTTCTCCCGCCGCGCCCAAGCGCTCAATAAACGGGTTTAATAAGACTGTCACACAAGGTGCACCTGTGTGTGGCTGCAGACTGCTAAATGTCCTGGAACTGGACGCTGAACTCACAGTTTCTCCCCCACAAGTGGCTCTGTTTGGACTCCAAACAATACCTGCTGCATTCTGAACACACAAACACCATCACTTGTGGTGAAACGTTTGCTAAATTCACCAATTTAAGATTAGGGTTTGAAACCCCTGGCTGCTTGTTAGTCCTTCTGTTTTCTCTTTCCCGACGCCTCCTACAAATGCATTTTGCATTGAGTATGGAGAATCTGACAGAGAGACTGAGACAGAGAGAGAGAGTGAGCTCTGCGAGCTATAAATAGATAGTGGGAGAGCAGTGGTGGTGATAGCATCATCACCACCAACACACTCTAATCCCTCTGCCCTGCACAAGCTCCAGCAGTGAGCACGTCTAAGCAGGGTCATCTGGTGAACTGGAGCCCATGACCCTTTTCTCCGTGTGTACTGTATTAAGCTTGTTAATGTGCACCCACAGGGTTAAAGGCACATTAGCTGTGCACGCAGGCAGGGCTTGCCAGTCCATCAGACAGCAGCCGGAGGTGCAGACCACGTCCCCTGCAACGTCGTGGGTTTTAACGGCCGTTTGTTGAATGTCATGCCAGATGCTCGCTGAGGCTCCCGTCGGCTCTCACTCTGCATTAAGAAAATATTGATATTATCGCCTCCAGCCTCCGGACATGTTGCTCCGGGCGCGGGAAACAATGTGTTGCCAATTACCTCTGTGTATTGCCATAGATTGTATATAACAACTGACGTTGTTGCGACGTCACTCATTGGTTTGTGGACGGCCGTTTTGCAGCCACAAGTTCAGCGATTTCTCCTCGGCCATCTTGGATTTTTGCTGTCGCCATGTTTGGAATGTGGATAAGTTGCATAAAAACGCGGCAAACGGCTCCGGTAGCGACCTGTCAATCACAGTAGGCCCGTCCCAAAGCATACCGTTCTTTATGTACAATTTGACCTTAGGTGGATTCAGGACTTTTGGGCATCTTTCTTAACTACATTCCCATTCGCTTCCCTCCAACGTGTGATCTAGAGCTAGACAGGCCGAGTTGCTATAGTTACGGTTGCTAAGCTAGAAGTGTACAACCCGTGTCTATGGGTAAGCGTTGAGGGAACACTCAGTTTTATTTTCTTTGGAATAACCTTAAAGCTTGTTCCAGGTATGCGTCCTGTCCACAAACAAGGGGTTAGTTGATCAGCAGGAACACGACAGACCAAATAAGCCCAAAACACCTCGTGTCAACTCTTTCATCGAAATGCCCTGTTTTCACTCCTACGTGTGATGCTGGTTTGTCATTTTTTCAACTGATGAAGTCATAAGTGATAAGTGAAAAAAAGGTGTGTGAGACGCTGTCATGACAACAAAGTTGTCATATTTATAGTTATAGTTAGTAATAATTTATATTTTGTATGATTCGCAAGAGCTTTTGCACCTCATTCAGCAGTGCTTATTTAATAATGTGTCTGTGTGTGTGTGTGTGTGTGTGTGTGTGTGTGTGTGTGTGTGTGTGTGTGTGTGTGTGTGTGTGGCAGCTTTATGTTCTCAGTGCCTTTACTTCTAGCAAAGTGTTCAGTCTTGAGGCACTGACCTCCTTTTCATTACCCACAAAAACGGCACCTTTTATTCTTTTCTTCTCTTATTGTGTGTGTGTGTTTTGTGTTATCCTAAATATATTGTTAGAGTTCTTAAAATTACCCATGAAAGTTAGTTATTGATATCTGTACTAAAAAAATAAACGTATTTTATTTTTCCTGGGTTTTTGATTAAATCACGTGACCTTCATCAGTAGATTATGTTTGTTCAGATGTTCATTTTAAACAGGATATTGATTTTAATTATGAACTGTAGCTGTAACATAGTTGATTACACCCTGCGGTCTAACAGCGAGTTTTATTTCTTATTAGTTATCAGCATATATTTTCCCAACAAGCAATTCTTCATTGTTGTAGGTGCTGTAAAATTATGTCATCGAAGGGAATTTTTTAGCTCCTTCAGGGCTCACAATGTAATCATGATTCATTACAACATTAGACATCTTTACCGTTGTACTTACAGTATCATGTACTATCTAATGTCTCTTAACGAGAGCCCAAAAAAAGTATAGATAAAGAATGCATTCAGATAGAGCATAAAGAAAGATAATGTAGTTGTGAGGAAGCCAATGAGACCAGGTGGTTGAAAGCTTTAGAAAGAAAGTGGCTCTTAAGTTAAAGATTTCTTTTAGTTTGCGTTTATTTCGATGATCTATGAAGCTTACTATTGAAGAAATACATAATTGCACATTAAATATCTAGTCTACAGGTATTCTAGTGTTTCAACTTGAGCACATTCTTTTTGCGGTGCTTGTTAAGAAGTTTACACCCTCCGGGCACTTCTTACATAAATTAAGCCTCACACACACACACGCACGCACGCACACACACACACACACACGCGCGGAAATGTTGGGTTGTTTAGACGTCATCACGTTACTCCCTCAGCACAGTGACTCAAAGCTCCACTTCCCTGTAGTTACATCATGTGCTGTGTAGGAATACCCCCCCCTCCCACACAGTCTCCCATCCGCCGTTCATCTGTAATGAAGAAAAAAACAAACCTCCGTTCAACATCACGATGCTTGAATACCGGCTTCTATTTTTGAAGGCTTCTGCTTCCTTTCAAACCCTGAGCACTGTATTTGTTTTAAGTATGACGGTATGTGATTTATTTTTATCCAGTTAATGCACCACTCACGACCACAGGATTTGAGATAATATACTGTATAAAAGTGCTGGTCAAGCACTTTAATCAAGCACTATACAAATACTTTTACCAAGACTTGGCGGCTGCACATTGTCCAGTTTGACCCATAAATCCGATGAATCTATGTGATTTCAAAGAGCAGAATGCAGTTGTGTAGTCCCATCGGAGTTCAACGTAATGCAGCCTAGAAGATCGGCCTGTGCAACCAGTGTGACATGAAAGCACGGTGGGATTAGCATGTTAGCTGACTGAAGAGGGACCCGACCGGTTGGACAATCAACCCTCTCTTTGGTTCCATTCAGGAACCGGACCTTATGGTGTCAATCCCTCCCTTGGATGCAGGGATGTTTTGAACTGAATACACTGCATATCTAGCAAATTGCCATTACCTCTGTCGGGTCCAGACTCATAATAACTACAATATTTTAGTATAAATAATAATTATAGTATATATTCTGAATTGTTTAGGAAGATATTCTTTGTATTGAGGCTGTTCAGCCCAGGAATTCTCCACTAAGGGAGCGAGTGACCAGGCGTACTCTGATATTGGGATATTTGGCTTGAAGCCTCCGTATGATTATTGCTTGACTGTGATATACTTTGTTTCACAGTGCTGCGTTAGCTTG